CCCCAAAACCCCAAAACCCCAAAACCCCATGAGACAGGGATCGATGGAAAATCAAATTAATTTTAATGAAGATTATCTAAAAATATAAATTAAAGTTTAAGTTATAAATGAAATCGAGGAATAATAATTCATAAAGTCAAGATTAACTTCAAAGCAATCATCACAGCAGACTAAATAATTCAGTTGATGTCTATGAAGTAAAAACTCTATGATCAAAGCTATCATACATGGTGATAGAAAATGACACTCTTAGAAAAGATAACTAAAGCTTAAATAGATCCTTAAAGAATAGTTAGTCAGCAATCATGGACTTAAGTACTAATTTTTCTTAACCTCTCTTTGACAATATTAATAATGAGCTCAGTCATGTGACTGAAGAACTTGAAATAACTCGGCAATAGCGAGATGAAATAGTCAAGGAAAACCTTATTCTAAAGTAAATAAACTCTTTTTATAAGCATAAAAATGAAATTGAAGACAAAGTCATGCTTGATAAGCTATTTAGTCAGGAGCAATTGCTATTGAAAAAAGATAACATAATAAAGTCATAATAGAATTAAATAGTTGAATTACAGAAGACTAATGAAGAGAGAGGAGTCAAAGTTGTTGAGAAATACATACTAGAGCCTACTGAGTGGAACATGAAATTCCAAAATTAGAGTAAGCTTATTGAGTAAAAAAATTAGGATTTGCTCAAAAAAATTAGTCTGCTTAATAAGCAGCTTGAAAAAGATTAACTCATGCTAAAGTAGTTACAAAATGAAGTCACTTAAAATGAAAAAATCATTAGTGTGCTAAGACACTAGATAGACAGACTAAAATAGGAAATTACTTAAAGTTTCCAAAAATCTTCAATCGAAGGTCACCAAAGTTATCTATAGCAAACAAAGAAGATTGAGGAGCAGACGTAAAATCAAATTTAAACAATCGTTAATCAGTATGAAATGGAAAGATCTTAGAATAAAAAATAGATGGAATTAATTCAGTCGCAAATTAATAAACCTGATATCATCATGTAGGACTCAATAAACAAATCGAGTATTATATTCAATGAAAATGATTTGACTTAAAAATAAATCGCTAGTAAAGGAATATCTATCAACGCTGTTTTATAGCAATTTGATTCAGTTAAAATGAATTCGTAGCACAGTTATGAGGATCAGTAATAAGCTAAAAACATAGCTGCATTGGACTTTGCTTTATCATCCATCAATAGTAATTCGAATGAGCGAATGAATATCATAGTCTAGGAACAAATAATAGTTTAAAAAGAGAGTGTGAGAGAAGAGGATAAACTATTTTCATCACTTAAAAATAATAGTACCAAAAAGGAATCATTAAATATGCACTCAAATAAATACTAAGATACAAATCTAGAGGAAAGTGCTGTTGATTTTTAAATCGATGAAGAACTGTTTTAAAAGAGCTAGAATCATGATAAATTAAAGGCAAAAGTTCCATAGCTTGATTTTTTCAAGTTGCCTAATTATATTCCTGCAAATAAATAATAGAATTAAAAACATGAAACTGAGGAGATCAAAATAGAATAAACAGAGTAATCTGGGGCTAACAAGCAAGTTAAGACATAAAGTAGCATAGTTAAGTAGTCTAAACAATCGTCCAAAAAGACTAAGTCAAATATATCGTAGTCTTTAATCAAGGAAACTTCTAAAATTTAGGAAACAACTCAAAGTATTAATCAGTCCAAGGTAGGAGGGCTAAATGGTGCAGGATTGTTTGATGCACCAGATTCAGATAATAGTCAGGACTCAGAGACAAATAGAAAAGATGATAAACTAAGAGAGCTTTTACAAATAAAGCTGACAAGTCAATAGTCTGAATAGAATTTCTTACAAACTGAATAATCAATTATCCAAAAATAACCTCTAACGATATAAAATTTGCCAAACAATGTAATCTTCGAAGAAATCTAGGTGATTGGATAGTAAGAAATGCAAGTTATATCATCAAAAAGTGAAAGCTAGAAATCATCAAAATCTGAAAGGCCAAAGGTTATAACCATAAATGGTAGAAACTTTGTATAACTAGGGGGAGACTCTGAATCTGAGGAGTCTAACAGAAAAATACCTTCTCCAGTAGTAATTCAAGCCAGGCCATTATCTAATTAAAATAACTAAAATAAAACTAAGTTTATCGAAGAAGTATTTGAAGAAATAGTTGAAGAAGAGGAAGAGGAGATTGAATCTGGAGATGAAGAATAAAGATAACCTGACATTTAAAAGTAACAAATATAAGCTTAGATTAAAAAATAATCTCTTAAAAATACTCAGGAGGATGTAGAAATTATCGTTGAAGAGGATATGGAGAGTGAAATAGAATCTATTAAACCTCAAGCAACTCAGCTATAAGAAACTTTTGTCTAGTCTAAACCAGTAGATATATTGGGAAAGTCTTTAGCAACTTACATAAAATAGAAATCAGGTTAAGAATCTAAGACTGCTGTAAGAAACTTTGACTAGAATATGGAAACTGAAATAGTAATTGAGGAAGAAGCAGAGGAAGAAATGAGTGATGATAGATTTAGATATGATAATTCTTCAATGAATCAGACTCAAAAGCCACCTTAGACAGTTAATCTGAATAAATCTTTTGTTGAAAAGCAAAATAACTAAAGCAGGAATGACATTATTACTAGCTAATAAGTGAAACCTCAAACTTAAAAGTATGAGCCGAACCCGTTCATAAGCAGTCAATAAATTGCTGACGAAGAAGAAGAGGTAATAGTAGTAGAAGAGGAATAGGAAGAAGAACCAGATGATGAATTTTAAGATAATACCATAATTCTCAAATAAGAAATAACTCCAATAATAAAACCTCAGGTAAAATAAGCTTTTACTTCAAATAGAAACTCTGCAAATAGGTAAAGTAACGTCGGCAAAAGAGCATAATAAGTTTTCTAGAATTTACTGTATATGCCAGATGAGTAAATTGTTGTAGAGGAGGAAGAAGAGGAGGAGACTGACAAAGAGGATCTTAGCTAATTGTAGAAACTAAAATCAAGTGTGAAGATTCAAGGATTGTTCAGTGAAACTTCCTTCAGCATGAGTTAAACTCAAAAGCTTTAGTAGTCTGAATAAAAATAACTAAAGACAGATGAGGAAGAAGATTAAGAAAAAAGAACGGAAGTGATTGTTGAGGAAGAGGAAGAAGAAGAAATTGATGAAAATGAAAATCTGAAGCTGACTGTAAACAATTTAAATCAGCAAACTTTAAAATCTAATCAATTAAGATAGACTCAAACCATCATGCAAGGATTCATGATTGAAGAGCCCTAGAGAAAACAGAGCGAAGAGACTGAAATTGTAATAGAAGAGGAAGAGGAGGAAGAAGTAGATTCAGATCATGAAAATAATAAACACTATCATTCAACAATATCGAATAACACGAATGCTAATCATCTCCAGAGCAGGTCAATAAATCAACCTAGAGATGTGAAATAAGATACTCTGAACTTTAAAGATCTCAATTTGAGATAAAATAAATAGCAAGAAACTGAGATTGTAATTGAGGAAGAGGACGAAGAAGAAATAGAGTCAATGCAAGACTTGGAAGAAGATAAGAAGTAGAACAAACAAGAGTAGATTAAAAATAATGTGATTATTATCCAAGATAAACAAATAAGGACTTTAAGTAGTCAGAAACAAGATGATTAAAACTTAGAAGATGATGTGGAATACATTATTGAAGAAGGTGAAGAGGAAGATGATCAAGATGATAATAATTGATATATTATTAATGAGAATAAACTTAATTTCATAAATCAATACTTTAAAGTTCAATTATAACAGGTAAAATTTTCTCTATCAAGCAGACTTCACTTATTTGGTCTTTATCTTGTGCTTATTATTGAATTTACAAATGACTAACCTTTTAAGCTAGTAGATAATATGTTATTACTTGATTTCTTCATTTGATAACTTCCAATTAGTTCCTTATTTTAAGAAGTAAGGGTTTTAATTTTTTAGTTTATAATATTTGTCTATGACTACTACTTTGTCATTGTACTGCTAAATTCCTATTTTCTTGTATACTTTGCTTGAATAGCACTTTTATGGTTATCATTTGAATACAAACTCGTTGGTTAGCAATTAAATTTAAGGTTATTAGTGCTGTTTCTTAATATATCACACATATTTCTAGCTGATTTAACACCGATGTTTGAAGTGTTTTTCCTAGAGTGCAAGCTAGGTGTGTAACTGCACTGATTGACTTGTATTAGTTAGTCATCAAACTACTCGTTCATTTAACCAGAGATAGTTGATAATGATCCTTCATGGTCAGTTTCATTTATTTAGCAGTTACTTTAGTTACGAATGATTTTCAGTAAATTTTGCTCTGATAAGGATGCTAAGCATTTTTTATTGGGCATTTTCTAAATTGTGATGGAACTCGTAATTTAATCTTAAGTAACGTCATTTATTATTCGAGATTGATTATAATTAACTTCTCCTGACTCATTATTTAGACTATTAATATCTCCGAAGCTTCGAGGATCTTTAAGTAAACTATCTCCTGAACTAAATGCCGCTCCCTCCAATAATGAGTTTTTTTAGTCAAAGCAGACGCGGCTAAATTTAGATTTGCTAGAAATATCAATATTGTTAAAGTTCAGTGTATTTTAAGTTTTCTACTAAGTTGTAATGCCAAATATAGAAAGCGAATTTTAATTTTGATTTCGAGATTTTACATCATGATCTGCATTATTAGTGTGTTAACCTTCCAATTGTTAAGTGAACTAATCTTTCAATTAAATAATCTGCTATAGTAAAAATCTAATCTCGGTTTACATCTCACTTTCATTCTTATTTTTCTGAGACTCTTAAAGATCAAATTATTTTTTTAAGGAGGTTAGTTATTCTTGAAGTGCTTGAAGTTAAGATTTTAACTATTGATTTTCTAATATCTAATCAGAGAGATCTTACTTTAGTTTGAGTAGATTTTTTGCATCGAGATACTCTTGATTGATATTGTTAGAATTCATCATTTAGGTTTAGAAATTTCCTAATTATGATTACTTATGCTCGTTTATTTTTGGAGTATTTATATCTAAAGTCTTTTGGACATATTCAGCAAGTTTTGGATTAGCAAGATTGTACTTTTTAGTTTGATCAAATGTTTTTGCTAATTTCCCATTGTGAAGTTAACTCAAAGTAAAACTATTTTTGAGATTTCCGGTGTCTCTTCTACTATGTTTAGATTTGCTATTAATAGTTTCCTTTTTATCAATTAAGTTTGTTCGCAATGAAGTTTATTCTTGGGTAGATGCTGTACATTTATAGTGAGGATTCAAATGCTTTATAAATTTCTTAGGTTCAAAAGAACCTTGACAATCAGTGCATTACATACTGTTGCATATTTCAAATATTCTATCAAAGTTTTTATTTTTAAAGTTTGTACTAGTTTACTCATATTATGGCTTGAGGTTGTTTATTGGCTAAAGCATTTTTATCATTTTTTAAAGGTTCTTATTTGCACTGTTATTTAATGAAGTGACTTCTGAAATGAGAATTGTATTAAGATTTTAATCTCCAAATAAGTTCTTATTGTTAGAGTTATTAGCATTAGTATACGCTTAACTTTTAAGATTATTGTCAATATTGCTAGCAAAGTTATCATATAGTTTTTCAAGCTTTAAAGCATTTGTTCTATTTTAAGGAGTTAGATTTCTTGGCTAGTCTAAGTTTTCAACTTAGCAAGTTATTTTTTAATCAATTAATTTTGATTTAACTACAGAGGACATCTGGTATTAAACTTGATTATCTTTTGACTGCTAATATACAGAATTTGGTATATGACTCTACCAGATGCTATCACATATGTTAGAAGTTAGGTTTGTTTGGCAATTTTAAAGCGCAGTAGTATCGTCTGGAATATTATTATATTCATTATTTAACTTAAGACTTTCTTTCATTCTTCTAATTGAATTATCAATACTTTTATTAACCGCGCTTGTCCTAGTTACAATTATTGACCCACTATTTAGTGATGGCATAGCTACAGAAGATCTTAGATTATTTTGACTTTTTGAATTCAAGATAGTTGATGTCGTGATGAATGATTAAGAATTATCTCTTAATTGCAAATTTTGTTTGATTTTCTTCTCATTTTATTCAAGTTTAAGAATTAGCTACTTCAGATTCTTGATTTTATTCTTATACTTCTAGTTTTGAGCATTTTTTTATACTATGTCATTTTCAAGTTTATTAATTCTATCCTTTAGTCTTTTCGAATTCATTTCATGATGAGTGCTATTGTTCCTTATAGTCCTTTTCAACTTGTTTATGCTCATTTCTAATTCTTCGTTTTACCTTTTCAAGGCTTATTTTTCATTTTAGATTTGCTACATATGATTTTCGACCTAACTCTTGTAATCATCGAAACTATCATTTAAGTCTTTGATGTCTTTTAAGTATTTGTTTTCCATAAGAAAGAAATTTTAACAGTCATAATTGCCTGTTTATATTCTTTATTAAGCTTACAGTATCATTTCCTCAAGAAATAGCTTATCTTTTCTATGGGTTACATTCATTTCTTTGATTTCATCTATTCTATTTTATCTCATTTGGTCTAATTCAGCATCGTATTTATCTTTCAGCTGCCGCAATTAGATATCATGTTCAGTTTCAATGATTTCAACTTTGCTTTACCAGAATATTCTCTCTTTTTCAGAATCCTCCAATTTCAAAGTAACCTCATTAACTTCTCTTTTGAATCAGCCCTCCAACTCATTTGAATCTTTAAGAAACTTTATGTATTCAATCTTTAGTTCATTTAATTCCTTTTCGTAGTCTTTTTAAGGTTTTGCCATTAATATATCTTAACCTATCATATTTTTAGTTTATATTATTTTTGCAATTTCTTAATAACGACTAGATTCTCATATTTGGGGTTTTGGGGTTTTGGGGTTTTGGGGTTTTGGGGTTTTGGGGTTTTGG